TAGAGCAAGAGTTTGATGTATATTGTTACTTATATCTGTTGTGGGGTGGGTTGGAAGTCAATTCTTTTTTGTCTTTCTTTTCTGCACTTTTGCTTTTTATTATTTTTCTTTTTTCAATTTTTCCCTTTTTTCTTATTTTTTATTCTTAATATTAGTTTTGGTTTTTATTCTTTTAAAAAAATTAATAAAGTTACTTGCTCAGGAGGAAGTAGGGGTGACCATTTCTCACTGATCAGATGAATGGCAGGTAAACAACAAAACAGCCTTTCCACAATAGCTTGTTCTGAGAAAACTTCCCTCAAAACAAGGCATATCAACCTGGCTGGCACTCCAGATAGATATGATGGCTGCCTCTTTGGCAACCAGAGCAAGGTATTAAAGTAGAGTGAAATATCAAGTCAGGCATTCCAGAGATAATAGCATGGCTCTCCACACTGTTCATTCACTTCCATATCTTAGTCTGAAGACTCCTAAAAATCTCCTAAAAGGATTAAGCATTATGTTGGCCTCTACAGATGTTGAGGTGGAATTACAGGAATTAATTCGCTTGAGAATTTCACTATGCCTCATAAGAGGTCTGGACCTGTCTAGAAAATAGTTTGTTGGCTCAACAATAGTTGACAAAAACAAATAGTTTTACTTCCACAAAACAGGTGAGCAAATATCTGAACACAGGGATCCAAGTCCAACATTCTATCCACTACTCTAAATCTCATCTTGTTCTACAGAAGACTTTCAAACAATAAAAGCTAAACAAAATATACAAAAGCTAAACAAAAGAAACCATTTTCTTCCTTTACAAAATAATCTATGCCTTTAAGCAATGTAATTTTATCCAGCCATACTGAGCTACTGAAATCTAATGAGCTTTACAATACTGCCTGTATGAAACTATACATATTTCAGGGGAGAGAAGAAAACAGATTACCTTTCAGGTTTCTAAAGAAAGGATTTTCTGCTGGAGAGCAGCTAGTTTATCAAGTGATACCATGTTTAGGGTAACTACTGAGAAAGATAAGGGTCATGTGTGAATTACGGTAATCACATAAAATATTTCAAGTTTTTAGAGTTTCACAAGTATAAGCTCAATAATCATCACAAAAATCTTGTAATGTAGCCCAATTTCCTACTGCACTAGAGCTGAGAAAACTTTTCTCTAAGTGTGGCACAGAATAAACTAATAGCTTCACATGCATCCAACTAAGCCATTGGTACTTACGTGGGGGTAAAAATGTACGCTTTCAGATTTTATAGTTTTAGCCTTAAAATGAGTAGACATATTTCTTTTGATTACTGAAAAAGCATGTTTGACATAAAGCATCTGGAGGTTTTACTATATGATACATTACAGATTTCATTACCAATTTCCTGAAACTATTAAA